ATTTTGTTTGGGATTCAGAAATATATTGTCTTAAAATGATTCATTTGTTGATCAGGGTACAGCAGTGTCATTCTCTTATGTTTTGCTCTTGGAAGCTTAAATGTGTCTGAATCACTAGCTGCTCTGTACCTCATGAATGCTGCAAACCTTCTTCACTTTTGAGGTATTAGTTTCAGATTTCACTGTTTTGACTTCTATTTGAGCTACATGATGACATAATAACTTACAATTGGGATTTGCGGCTACAGTTAGGTGACTTATTACAGCACAATGACAGTTGTATTACAATTGACAATTATATCTACCTGCAATTAACTTTTTCCTTAGTATAAAGTAATATTTTTGAGATGTTGAAACTTAAAATTTTCCAGACTTACCACTGTGTAGGTTATAATGAGCCTTTTCTCAAGACGTTTTCACTGTAAAATACGATCCTTGTTCATTTATTCATTGGTTTTGCGTGCACGTGTATGCATGCATGTAGTAGTAACTCTGGTTGTCATAGTAAATCCAGATTGTACCCTGGAACTCGGGTGCTTGCCACGATTGAACTTGGGATAGTAAGCTTTTACGGCTTCGCACTGCAGTCAATCAGATAGAATCCTGTGAGGGTGGATGGAACTGAACAGTTATTTAAGATGTATTTCCTGAGCTGCTTTGTATTGCTTCTGAATCAATCTTTAGAGGAGAGCACAAGGTCCATGGTTGTTACAGATTGGTAATTTTATACTCAGTGTGATCTGTCATGAATGGCAGGTATCAGTTGCGTTCAGATTTACAGGAGCAAATGCTAATCTAATATGGCACTGCTGACTTTATTTTCCTGCAGTTTAATGATACTGAGCTAGTAAAGCCAGATGGGAAAATAGCACACAGTCACATCTAAGTAGAAGCCAAGCCTGGTGATGGTGTTTGATAGTCTCAGCCGGGAATGGGAAGTGAGCCACTCGCCTGATGTATGATTCACATTGTAGTAGTAATGCTTTTCTTGTGAAATATTTCAAACTCTGTTAGGTCACAACACAACAAACATCTTTGCGGAATTTGACCAAATCATAAAATTATGTTCAGAAAACTACAGAATTGCTAGAAGTGGTCACTGGGGAAACATTTCAAAATATTAGTGTAGGTGTGACTAAATTTTGGGTAAGTTTCCAAAAGTACACGAGGGAGAAGCAAGACAAGACAAATGAAATTATATTTAAGTTGAAAGGCTCTGCACAGGAAACAATCAGACTGGAGGATCATCTAATAAAGTAGGAGGGAATATACATAAGCTATTTATCTAACAAAGGATTGATAGTGAATGTATGTCAGCAACTCCAGAAGCTCAACAATATGGGCATGTTGTGGCATAGTGGATGAAGCTGCTACCTGAGGTGCCAGCATTCCATAAGGGTGCCCATTTTTGTTCTGATTGCTTCACTTTTGAGCCAACTCTCTGCTAATGACCTGCAAAAAGCAGCAGAAGATAGCCCAGTCTTTGGGTCTCTGAAACCTACGTGGGAGACCCAGTGAAGCATCTGGCTGCTGGCTTCAGCCTGGCCCAGCCATGGCTATTGCAGCCATCAGTGGAGTAAACCAGGGGATGAAAGTACCACGACCTCTTTATCTCCTTCTTTCTCTTGCACTCTGATTTTCAAACCCCAACTTTTTTTTTTTAAAAACACACACACACACACACACACACACACACACACACACACACACACACACACACACACACACACACACACACACAAAATATGGGCCAAGGACCCAGCAGTTCATCTGAGAGCCAGGGGCTGGTAAGTAACCAGGCAGATGCATCCAGTGGTGTATGTTGGGTGCAGGGGCAGGCTGAGCCCAGTCTTGCACCAGCTGGCACACGTGAGAGCAAGGTCTGAGGACCCCCAGGCGAGCTTTCTTGGAAGGCTCTTCAACTACCCTGCTGAGCTTGATTCTCGAGCCCTGGACTGGATCAGGCCAAGCCAGGAGCATGAAACTCCTCTGGGTCTCTCATGTGAGTGGCAGGAGGCCAGCTGCTTGGGCCATCATCCACTGCTTTCCCAGGTGCCTGGCAGGGAGCTGAATCAGAACTGGAACAGCCAGGACTCAAACCACGCCTCATCTGATGCTCGTATGGCAGGAGGCAGCTTAGCACACTGCACCACAGAGCTTGCCTCAAATTAAACGATATTTTTGAGACTGTTAATTTTCAGAATGTATATGTAAAAATATGCACAATTTTATGGGTAAAAATATTCGATAGACTTTTGGAGGCATTTGTTTTGTTTCTATTTAGAATTGACCCTCAATAGAGTATTTGCTGTATTTTCTTGTTTAGTTGGATACCATTCTGTTGATTGTTCCATGTTTGATAATTTTTGTGCAATCAGTCTTCATGCTGAATGTGGAATAATTGTAAATATAGCTTTGATGGTCAGTTTCTCCTTTGTATCACTTGCAATAAAGGGCTGGTTCCTTCTTTAACACAGTATTTGAATATTCATATGTATTTGTACCATTCCACCTTTCTCTGTAAAGACTTATTTTTATTGGAAAGGCAGATCAGATTTACCAAGCGAATGACAGAGAAAAGATGTGTTCCATCCATGGTTCACTCCCCAGATGGCCACAACGGCTGGAGCTGAGCTAATTTGAAGTCAGGATCTAGGAGCTTCTTCCAGGTCTCGCACGAGAGTACAGGGTCCCAAGGCTCTGGGTGGTCTTCTCTGCTTTCCCAGGTACAGGCAGGGAGCTGGATGGGAAGTAGAGAAGCTAGGACAGGAGCTGGCATCCATATGGGATCCTGACTCTTGTGAGGTGAGAACTTAGCCATTTAGTCATTGTGTGGAGGTCTTGCCCTTCTCTTTAAAAGGATAATTTGAGTAACATTTCTTTGAATTTAACTCTATATTATAGATAAGTAAAACACTTTTTTTTTTAGTTGTGAGATGTTTTATTTTATTTATTTGAAATGCAGAGATAGAGATGCTGCATCTCTTGGTTCACTCACCAGAAACCTGCCACGGCCAGGACTGAGTTAGGCCCCAGCCAGGAGCCCATGTGGGTGGCCGGGAATGGTGGGGCTTGGGAGTGAGGGACCAGGCCTAGGGACTCCAGTATGGGAGTTTTTGGTCCCAGTGAGTCTCCTAAATCCTTTGTGCAACAACACCAAACCAAGATTTTTTTTTTTTTAGAACAACTTTTTTTTTGGCTTTATGCTTTGATCATTCAGTTGTCTTAATCAGCAGGAAAGCTGATTAAGTAGATGAAGAATTTACTTAAGGATATTTGGTGCTTGGTGCAGTTTTGGGGAGACTGGACTGTGAGGCATTATAGTAAAGCTTTCAGGTGCTCATTGCGTGTCTGAAACCTGCTCCGCTCCTGACTGTCGGACACTGGAGGAGAGCCGCTGTGCAGCTCAGCTGCCACCATGTGGAACCAGGATCTTGGCTTTGTCACCACTGTGGGACCTCTTCTGTTGCTGCCTTCGTGGAAAGCCGGTGCCTTTGTTCATGTCAGCCCCATACAGTCCGTTTTCTCTTGTGATCACTTCTGGACTGAAATCGTGTACAAGTGCCTTGTATTGTGGGCTGTATTGTGAATTTGAAGTTGATTTTGGTAGGTTGCACTTAGAGGGGAAGTTCTGAGTCTGGGATGGCTCTGCAGAGCCGTGAAGGCAGGCGGTCCTGAATAGGACACTTACCCTCTCCTTCCTCCTCCTGATGGAACGTTTTCTGTTCATCTCCAGGTGAATAACTTCAGTAGAAAGACTAAATCTTTACGTTAGCCTGTTTTTTAGTTAGTCTGGCTCATTGTTATCTGAAATTTTTATGACTATCAGCAATTCTTTCCCCATTTATATATTTAAAAATAATACCAACACAGGGTAGTATTCAAATGTATGCTGTTAGAGTCAAACAATACGGAAGGCTGTAGAAAAAAAAATGTGCAGGCTGCCTTTCACTCTGCATTGTGTCCAGTTTCCCTCCAGCAATTTAAATTTATCTTCTCTTTCTACATATCCCCTGATTATAATCATCGCTTTTAATTATATATTGTGACATTTTGTGATTTAGTGTGATAATGTCACTGAATGATAAGGTCATTTAATGCAGAGTTACTTAGTTGGTATTTTTGGGCTTTTATTAGAGAATACTAAATTATTGCTGTGTGTAGAATACTACAATATGAGGCCCTGATAGTCGGTCGCTTTTGAAGTAACAATTCCCAGTTTGGGAATAAATGTAAAGATGAAGATACAAGTCACAGAAGCCCAGAGCGTGTCGTTTGGGTTGTATTCCTGTGTCCTTGATGATCCTGGCAAGTTTGTCCGGAAGCTCTAGGGGTCGTTCCTCTCTGCAGATGCGTTGTTAGAGCACTGTCTGCACGCTTGTCTCAGAGCTCCTTCACCCATGTTGCTGCTTTGAATTAGAGGCCGGAGAGTCCAGAAATGCTGAAATCCAGTATAAATTTCCTCAGGTTAGGGAAGATACAAAAATACCATTTTCTGGTAGAGTTGTGACTGACACTTCAATGGAGTGTGAATAAAGGCCCTTCAACAGGGAAATACATGTTTTCCCTTAAAGGCAATATAGTTTGAGTAGGTAGGGTGAATATAAACATGTTTTTAGCAAGTTTTTTTATTTGTAAATAGTTGGTGAAAGGCCATATGCTTCATTATTTTTTCCAAATTTAGGAAATGGAAGTATGCGGATACTGTGTAAGAATTTTAAAATTGAAATTAAAAGTTGTCATTTCTGTGCAGTTTTGATTTCCGTGAATGGTAACTTTTGTGACATGTTTTGGCGTGAAACTGTTTTGAAGATTCCCTTTAAGTTTTCTTATTTCACATAAACTAGGAAAACAGCACTGATCAGTTTCTGATCAGTTTCAGGAAGTATTTTGTTGGGATCTCACATCCATATTCTTTTGGCCATTTGCGTTTTAATCTTGTTCACTTTTCTGTAATTGTAGCTGATGTGTTAATTGTGACTAATCTTTTCTCTCTCCAGATCATTCAACTTCAAGTGGCACATTATCGTTTAAGCCTAGTAGATCATTGGTTACTCTTCCTACTGCCCATGTGATGCCATCCAACTCCAGTGCTTCAATTTCCAAACACAGGGAATCATCAGATGGCACAAAATGGACTACCAGCTTCTTGCAGGCATTGAGAGACCAGAGCAGGGGGCAGCAAGACGCCTCACTGGACATGAAGGACTTTCGGCCTCTTCGGAAGTGGTCATCTTTGTCTAAACTCACGGGCCCAGACAACTGCAAGGAGAGTGGCACTGCGCATGCTGAAGAGTCTAGGAATGCTTTGGAGACGGGGCGGGGCAAGGTTTTACCATCACAACTAAGGACAGTGGGGCCTAGCTGCTTACATGACAGTATGGAGATGCTTAAGCTAGAAGACAAGGAAATCAGTAAAAAACGATCATCCACGCTGGACTGCAAGTATAAATATGAGAGCTGTAGCAAAGAGGACTTCAGAGCCGCCTCCGCTCTAAGGAGACAGACCTTAGACATGACATACAGTGCCTTACCTGAAAGCAAGCCCATTATGATGAGCTCAGAGGCCTTTGAGCCTCCCAAATACCTAGGACTGGGTCAGCAGGCAGTCGGGGGAGTTCCCATTCAGCCTTCTGTGAGGACTCAGATGTGGCTTACTGAGCAGCTGCGGACAAACCCTTTGGAAAGTAGAACTACCGAGGACTCCTACAGTTTAACTCCTTGGCAGCAACAGCAGCAAATCGAAGAGTTTCGGCAAGGAAGTGAAACACCAATGCAGGTAAAGTTCAAACTCTCGTGTTTGCTGCCCTCTAGTGGATGTTAGCAGTGCTGTAGCACATTCACAGTAAGCCTGTGGCAGTCAGATTTCATTTTTCCCTACGTGTTAAGGAGCATAGTGGTGTTAGATACTTCAAAGGTGTTTCTTTGATAATAATTTACAAAATATTTGAGATATAATAGCATAAAAAACTTAAAAATATTTTATAACTTTTCTTTTGCTTTCCTTTTATTAAATGGACACACAAAGCAGAATATATTCAGTCTAAAACGCTTGAAACAGAATCAAAGAGGCTGGCATACTGTACTGTAACATTAACTTCAGGGTTTTAGGTATTAGATTGTATTTCTGGCTTTGTCACACTAGAACCTGGATGATTTTTGACCTTTCAGGTTTTCTGAGTCATTTGTAAAAGTTTGGTAGTGGTTGATAATGTATTAAGGGTTATAAAATAAAATGGTGTGTAGTCTCTAAAGGGTCCAGGGACTAATGTTTAAATGGGTAAGTTTTTTTCTTCTGGAAGTGTTTCCAGTCTCAGAAACCAAATTTTCTGACATAAATCACGGGCGTTTATTTATTTACTTTTATTATATTTTTGACAATCTTTACATAGTTAATTAGGGTAAAAAGGTTCAAGGGCCATAGGAAAGTGGGTTTTCCCTATTGTTTCCTTCTAGTTTAAAGGGGGGTATTAAGGGAGAAGGCCCACCCAATTTCCCACCCTCCCCAGGTCCCGGATGTAGGGTCTGCTCTGAGGTTCTTGCTCAAGTGGTTTTGATAGTTCACCAGTTATGAATCGCTGCCAATCTTGCCACTCCAAGCACTATGAGGTCTTTGAAGAATCCACTGATTGACATAGTCCATCCGGCATTTATTATTGAGAAATTTGTGACACAAATTATAGCAAAACTTGCAAAATTCCTTCAGAGTAATAATTGTAAAAGACTACTATTTAATATAAGAAATAAAGGAACATAGTCTTTGAAAGGCGAGGAAAGCACTTAGACACCTCATAAATGAGTGTGATTTCAAAGCTTCAGTGTAACCTAAATGAGCTACATTCATAGAAGAGTGCTTAACATAATGTGATTTATTTTTAGACACAGTTCTAATGATTTTTATTACACATATGTAAACTATGTCATGAAACATTATGGTTGGATTGCAAATAGAAAAACAACTAGATTTGTGATATATCAGTTTTAGTGACTGAAATATAGGAAGTGAATTGTTTTAAAAGCTATCACATTTTAATGTTCAAGTGCTTGTGAATTTGAATGTTTTTAGGCAGTTTTGAAGCTACCCAGAGGGATTGTGTAAGACAATTGAACAAATTTTGTAGGAATAAGTACTAATTTATTCCTCCTCTCATTCTGTTTTTTCCCTAACTTTGAGGCAATACAGAGAAGATAAAGTATTTGGAGGTCTGTGGGGAAGAAAAGCTTGTTTTTAAGTCTTCTGGGTGCTGGGTGGAGCGAGGAGGACAGTAGTGGATAAAATTTGCGTATGTCTTGCAAAACTGTACAACTTCTTCTTTAGCCTTATTTGGAGATGGTTTCTTTGTAGTTCTGTTAACTTTGGGAGTGGAAGGGCAGACCCTGAGAAAACTAGGCAGTAGTTAATCTTGAAGTGACTGCTTTCCCTCTAATTTCCATCTTGGACGTCTACATAAAAAGCTCTCCTGCAGCCTCCAAGTACAAGCACTCTGATTTTAAAGTTCTCATCCGAAAGGTTTATTAAAAGTCTCGTAGAAATTGAGTTCTTGATGATTTTCACATATAGACAAGAACCTTATTAAGGATTAACCCATCTGATACATAGTGATTTTCACTCAGAATTACTCTATGAGAAAAAAAAGTTCCTCTGTATCTAAGAAAAGGAATTTGCCTGAGAGTCACGTTTGAGTGACACGTATTTATTAACTTTTTAGAACTCATAGTTTTGATTTTCACAGCCTGTATTTGCCTTACCAAGTTAATTTGTGATGGAGAAGCTTTGCTGTTGGTGGGACTCAGTCGAGAGCAGCGGCTGAGCCAGCCGCGTGCTCACCTGTACAGTGTCCCTAGGCTGAGCCAGCCCCGTGCTCACCTGTGCCATGCTCCGAGGCTGAGCCAGCAGTGTGGTCTCACCTGTGCCGTGCTCCGAGGCTGAGCCAGCAGTGTGGTCTCACCTGTGCCGTGCTCCGAGGCTGAGCCAGCCGCGTGCTCACCTGTACAGTGTCTCTAGGCTGAGCCAGCAGTGTGGTCTCACCTGTGCCATGCTCCGAGGCTCAGCCAGCAGTGTGGTCTCACCTGTGCCATGCTCCGAGGCTGAGCCAGCCGCGTGGTCTCACCTGTGCCATGCTCCGAGGCTGAGCCAGCCGCGTGGTCTCACCTGTACAGTGTCCCTAGGCTGAGCCAGCCCCGTGCTCACCTGTGCCATGCTCCGAGGCTGAGCCAGCCGCGTGGTGCTCACCTGTACAGTGTCCCTAGGCTGAGCCAGCCGCGTGGTCTCACCTGTGCCGTGCTCTGAGGCTGCTTGTATTTTTCTGTCTTCTAGGTTGCAGCTAGTGCAGTACTCTGAAGCATTTAACTTTGTAAATGAAAAACGAAACAACAATTATGCCCCTGTTGGTTTAGGGTATAGGGGAACTCAGGCTCAATTTTTGGTTCTTTCCTTTGTGCCCCATTGTACATTGCACCCCTGAACTCTGAGTCTATAAGGAATTTGATGGAAGAGGAGAAATTTTGTCTTCTCATTGTGAAGAATGTTACCCCATTTCTGTGTGTCCGTATCTTTTTTCCCCTGAGGGAGCACAGCAGGTAGAAAATGTGCCTTTATGTGCGTAGCAGCCATATCCATTAAACTCCTATAGACTAAGAATGAACTTCCCAGAGTATGTTTTCTTTATTGGTCTCTTGTCCTCTTATTACCGTCATTTAGAAGAGGAAGATAAAAGTTTCTCCCCATTTAAGTGATAGACAATTATTTCACCATAATATCTTATGTTATATATTTGTATTTCATATAAACATGTATTTGTATCTTTATATTTGAAAATTAAATTCCTAAAATACCTTAAATGACTTATTTTTGGTCTAATATGAAGTTTTTAATTTTAACTTGGATGTGTTTTAATACGTCCTCTGAGAACGAACAATTTTTTTATTTTTTCACCCTATTCTTAGAATGTTTTACTGTTTGGTATTGGAAGCTGTGGACAGTGACACTCTAGATAGGGTATAACATGACACATTCAGTAGATAGCTAAAAGTGTATACAGTACTTTGGTATATGTGTTAACAAACTGATCTCAGTTTTTAATGTTAATTTTCTGTATAATTTGACTTGTAATTTTCAGACATTTTCAAAATGTATTGTTAAGAGAAAGGAAAGCTTTTTTGAAAATATATAATCTTCCCACTTTGCCCTGAGACCAAAGAATTATCATAGGTGAGACCAAAGAATTATCATAGGTGAGATAATCTCTAGGTAAAAGCAAATTATTTACTTAAATATTAAATAGTTATTTAAATAATTATTCATTTAAATATTTATTAAAGTTATGGAAAGTCAAATACAGAGAGGAGATAGAGGAAGATCTTTCATCCGATGATTCACTCCCCAAGTGTTTACACCGGCCAGAGCTGAGCTGATCTGAAGCCAGGAGCCCGGGATCATCTTCTGGGTCTTCCACGTGAGTGCAGGGTCCCAAGGCTTTGGCCTGTCTTCTGCTGCTTCTCAGGCCACAAGCAGGAATTGGATGGGAAGCGGGGCTGGCAGGATTAGGATCTGTGCCTATATGGGATCCTGGTGCATGCAAGGTGAGGACTTTGACCACTAGGCTGTTGTGCTGGGCCTGAAATTGTTTTTTATAGATTTGTCCTCCTGTGTGTCTACTAGGAAATCTTGACTTTTTGTTTTTGAAAATCAGTCCTTAAGAAAGAGAAGAAAGATTTCTGGGCCCACAGTGTGATGACTCAATGGCTAAATCCCTGCCTTGCACATGCCCGGATCTCATATTGGTTGCTGGTTCCTATTCCAGCTGCTCCACTTCCATCCAGTTCCCTCCTTGTGGCCTGGGAAAGCAGAGGATGGCCCAAAGCCTTTGGACCCTGCACCTGTATGCGAGACCTAAAAGAAGTCTCTGGCTCCTGGCTACAGAAGATCTTTGTATTTGTCTCTTATTCTCTCCATAAACCTAATCTGTAATTTAAAAATAATAATAGTAAAACCTCCTAGAAGAAAATCAAAGCAGGATATAAGTAGAGTGTTTTGGAATATCATGAGAATTTTGTAGAGGCATTTCATTTAGTTCAAGAGTATGTATTTTTTAGATTTATATGTATATAAGAGGTAGAGAGAAGAAGAGTTTGAGAACTCCCCCATCTGTTGATTTTCTTCCCCAGATGTCTGATTATGGTCAGGCCCGGACCAGATGGAAGCTGGGCTGGAAACCGAGTCCAGATCTTCCACAAAAAGATCTTCCATGGCAGGAACCATGTCACTTGAGCCATCCCTGTTAGCTCTAGGATCTACAGGACCAGGAAGCTGGAAGGAGTGGAGCTGTGTGCCAAACCCAGAGACTTGGCTCTCGGGTGCAGGCGTCTTCCCCAACATCCTAACTGCTGCACCGAATGCTCACCCCCAACGACACTATGTTTAATACAAATGATTCTGATGATTTGCATCACATACTATTTTTAATCACTTAAAACATAATGGTTCACAAGTCAACATTTAAAACTTAGTTCCTTTTAGCTAGTAAGTTAGAATTCATTTCATAGTGTAAACTAAGGTTTAGAAATTTAAAAAAAAATTAAAAATTAAATTTTTTAAATTTTTTAAACATAATGTGAAAGTATTCTGAGTACTAACAGCACACAATTTTAATTGCTATCAGAGATGGAAGAGTAGAATATTTTTATTTACAGAAGAAAAATTCCATAAATTTACATTTAAAGAACAGTGTAGTAAAATGAAAAGATCTTATCAGTTTAACTTTTCTACTTGTTTTTTACAACAGTACAGCTAATTGTAGAGCTTAATACTCTGAGTGGGTAATTACTGAGGCCGGTGAGGTAAGTTCTTCAGCTGTTCATAAGCTTTCTGGTGAATGGGAGGGATCTCCAACCTGTAGATGCTTTGCTGAAGATCTTCCATTAATACGAGGCCACCTTTTCTCTTTGTTGTTCAGATGTCCATGAATTAAAACTAATACCCTTTCCATCATCAGGGAATAAAGAATCTAAAGTAGTTTTTTCTTTACTATTTGGCTGCCAGCTGTCATGTTAATTTGAATTCAAGATCTATATTGGCCTTTCAGACTCTTACAGTAGCTGTATCTTACCAAATAGGGTTTGTTACATAGATATAAACCATTTTAAGCTTAACTTTTTTTTATTTTTTTGAGATACTACTTAATTTTTTTTTTCTTTTATATTTGAAAGGGGGTTGGAGAGACAGAAGTAGAGAAAGAACTTGTTTAGTTTGCTAGTTCACTTGCCAGATGCATGGTAACCAGGACTGGACCAGGCTGAAAGTACAGGGCTGGAATTCAATGAGGGTCCCCCAGATGAATGGCAGAGTGTCGAGTACTTGAGCCATATCTGCCACTTTGCAGGGTATGCATTAGCAGCAAGCTGGATTGGGAAGTAGAGGCAGGACACCAACCCGGACACACACGTGGGCAGCATATAACAGTGCCCACTGCTGTGCCTGTCACATGCCTGCCCTTGGCTTCATTTTAAACTTGAGTCAACTTGGTTAAATTTTGGTGAATATTGTTTTCCAGCACCAAATTTTAATTATTTTATGAGGAGTTTGGAAGATGTCTTAAAATGTTAAGAGGCAGAGTTTAAGTATATTCACCAGGAAAATAATTGTAAGTTAATATATGATTGAGTTTATTATTTAGCTCACTAATTACAATTATAGGTTAGTATTAGTGACTTTGTATTTAGCACAGTAGGCACCTATGTTTGATAATGCACCATTTATTTGATAATGGTTATCTGTTTGGCAATAGCTGTATCCTGTTATAGATAATGGGACAGAAACTTCATATTAAATTATAATCCAAGATTTAGTTGCTATGTGGTGAAGTAATTCAAATTTTTATTGTTAATTTTTTTTTTTAGTGCTGGAAGTAATTAATTTTTCTCTCAGAGAAATCTTTTAGTCTTTGCCCATACTGGGCATGAGGCTGAGTAAAAGACAACCTATAAGATTATTGTGAAGTTTTAACGTTTCATGATTACAAACATACAGAATGGTAAGTTAAGTATTACAGATCATCTGCTACATTGCTGTAAATTAACATGAGACTTTATTTAAATAGTATTGATGGCTAGATAACTGTAACCTATTAAATTGCCCAGTAATCCTCATCTTTTGATCATAATGTCCTCAAAAGAACATATTTATGGCTTATTAGAGTTCTGTATTTCTTTGAGAAAGTTGAAGGCTATTTTATTTATGTACGGCCTTATTTTTCCTTACTTTTATCTTAGAAAAATTGTTAAATTTTGGTAGAAATAATATAGAAAAAGTTTCCTTAGTGTGTGGAAGTTACTACAAACGCTTTTGTGTGAGAATAATAAGATAACGGACACGAGGCCTCAGTGGCTGTTTTGAGCAATGACACTTGATTTGAATTATTATTTTGGTACTTAATGGAGACCGGGGAAATACTTAGCATCAAAGAAGCTTTTACAGTGCAAGATAAATGATATTTACCCCAAAGAATGAAGCTAATGTCTTACATATGAAGTGAACTTGCTAGTAGTGCTGTTTCAAAATTAAACTCTTACTTCATCCTCAGAAAAAATTTGGAATGGAAATTTCTTAAGCCGTGTTGAAGCAGTCAGCAGTTACAATATACACACTTCTTATAGTCATTTTAAAGTTACTTTTGGAAAACAAAGCCCTTTTCATGGATGCAGGATCTGGCAGATAACTATGTTTGCTAAGAATTTGTTTTACTCTCAATCTTGGCCTTTTCAGAGACAAACTCTTGTGTTTAGGAGGTGGTTGGTTGGTTTTCCTCTCTTGGTGGGATGGCCGGTTTGGCACTGGTGGGAAGTTGTAGATCTGGAGCTTGTAGCAGAACTTCAGAGTAGCATCACAATGATGCAGATCAGCAGGAGACATATTAAGATGAGACAGAAGTTGATAAACAGGTTCTGCAGGTTCTGCCGTGCTTGCTGAGGCATTTCTATGGTTGAGGCTCTTCGTATGGCAGAACGAGTGAGGTACTGAACTTTCTCCATGGCGCTGAGAGGGCGGGAAGTCTCGAGTTTTAATCCAAGAGAAAGCTGAAAAGTTGGCACCAAATATGAGAGGACTGTCTTCTTTTAGGTAGCCTGGAATGTAAAAATAGTGAGTAGATTAGAATCATATATAATCTATTTGCTAACCGCGTAAGGTGCACATTTGCATTAATTCATTTTTTTCAAAATGTTTAAGATCTCTGTATGTCCATCCACACATGTGTTTCTGTGTGTCTGTTTCTCTTTGTGATTTGTCCTGTGAAATGTAGTAACTTCAGTCTTTGCTTGTGGAGTGTTTTGAAGTATCAGTTGATTTATGATACAGCTGATTTTGAGCTATTCTTTTGGGCGTAAGTTGTTAATATATAGTTGAAATTTGTTTTTCTCTGTAGAAATGATTGACATGAACATTTAGTGTACTAATATCTCCAGAAGCAACCTCTTGAATGTTGTATATTATTGCCTGAATTTTTTTCTTTTTAAGATTTATTTTTATTGAAAAGGCAAATCAGATTTAAAGAGAGAAAGACAGAAAGATCTGTCCAGTGGTTCACTCCCCAATGGCTGCAATGGCCAGAACTGAGCCAGTCTGAAGCCAGGAGTCTCTTCTGGGTCTCCCACCTGGTTGCAGGATCCCATGGCTTTGGACCAGGCTGGATAGGAAGTAGAGCAGCCAGGACATGAACCAGCACCTATGTGGGATCCTGGTGCATGCAAGGCGAGGACTTAGCCACTAAGCCATAATGTCTTATTCCTGGGATCTTAGTTTTAGTCTAAAATAGATGGGTGAATGAGAAGTTGTTTTTTTCAGAAATACACATTCACGTTGTAATTTCTTCTGTAATTTTGCAGCTGTGTAAAAGGTGATTTTAAATGTTTTAATAAAACTGAAGTATCACTGCTTCATTGTCTACCCCAGACGGTTCCTATTTACATACCACTGCGTATGAATAGTAGTTTCCATCCTGATTTCTTTCTGAGCTTGCATAACACTTTCCTGTCTCTGGGGCCTAAGCTATGATATTATGGCAAGAATTAAATAAAAAGTTAATATGTCATTACAGAAACATTAGATTGAGATTAGGGATGGGTATGTGGCATAGCAAATTAACTACCACTGGGACACTGGCATCCCACGCTCAAGTGCTAACTCAGGAGCCCTAAGTCCTGGCTACTCTGCTTTCGATCCAGCTTCCTGCTAATGTACTAATGGCTCAGGTGCTTGGGTCCCTGCCAACAGCATGGGAGAACAAATGGAATTCCGGCTTCTTTCAGCCTTGCCCAACCGAAAGCTCCTGTGGCTTTTTGAGGAGTAAGCCAGTGAATGGAAAATCTCTGTCCCTGTCACTCTGCCTTTCAACTAAATAACCTTCCAGAGAGAGTCACTGTTAGCATTTGCTATTTCATGTTCAAAATATTTTTTTCAGCTTTTGAAATGAGAGAAAATTTAAAATGGAAATTTTAAATCCTATAATTAATTGCTCAGATAATGACTTAAGTCATTAAGAATAAGTTAAGAATAAAACAGAGTCTTAGCCAATTTATTCCTCTGCCAATCTTGTAAACATTAAAAGGACTTTGTTCTCCAAAAATCAACTTTGAAATGACTGTAGTCTAACTGTATAATGTCACTGTTGACTTCCTTGATGACTTGGTACTATATCATTCTGAATAAAAATATTAGTACCTTCTCCAGCTGCCAGATAGCATTTTCTTGCTAGTCTCTGTCCCATTTGAACCCACCCCAACCTGTCAGCCCTGTTCCTGAGACGCACAAGTGCTGAAGAGAAGTTTATTAAAAGAATTTGAAAGGAAAAAACATGTATCATAACTTGACATTTATTCTTCAAAAGGAGCTATGTGGTAGATAGTGGTAAGATTTTAATTTTTATTTTTTTACAAAAACATATTTAAGAAGGAGGGAGAATGTGAGTGAGCGTGTAAAAGCCCATCCACTGGCTTATGCCCCAAGTGCACACATGCATGGGGACTGGCCCAGACTAAAGCCACAGCCTGATATTCGGTCCAGACCTCAGCAGGTAACAGAAACCCAGTTACCTGAGCTGTCTCTGTCTCCCAGGCCCGGCATTAACAAGGAGCCAGAGTCTGGAGCTGGAGCGGAAATGCACCCCAGGTGTTCCAAACTGGGATGCAGACATCTTAACCATTAGACTGAACACATGCCCCAGTTCATTTTCATTTTCATTACTTCAACTTGGCTCTGTTTTGGATTCAGATGTGCTACCATTGAGCCATGGTCGAGGTCGGCCAAGCTCTGTTACATTTTGGCTTGTGTAGTTGACAGGACTTGCAGTTGATTTGTAATAAGTAGTTCCACACAGCCAAGTTATATATATAGTCTTTGCTGTCCAACACAGGTAGTTAAATGCAACACAGGTGACTAAACTTATCTATAATGTCCTCTATTTGGAGAGTGATAGTTCAGTGTTTAATAACTTTTGTTTGAATTCTTCAGAGAAAAAAAACTATAAAGTTTTCTTTCATTCTTTGAGTAGATGTGGCCTTTACATCTGCCTGGATTGACGGTGCCGTTATCAGTGAATTACATTATTGGGGAATTATGGGCTGATTTTCTTTACTAATTGCTGTAAAAATGGACATATAATACTTAAGAATTATCATTGGTGATTTTTATTTTTATAAAATTTTAGGGCTTAAGTGCTCTTACAAATGTGTTTTCAAAGTTACTTTGAGATTAACCATTGGAAAGAAGAGGGCTGGCCAGCATTTCATCAAGAAGCCCAGACAGGAATCATTCCAGTTGACATTTAGGAGTGGTGCACCAGTCACATGGAGTACGTCACCTTTCCAAAAATACTCTGTTCCTTTTTTTATTTTGTCCTTTGCACATGTTGTTCTGCCTGTTGTACTCTGATCCACCTTCCCCGCCCCCCCTTGTTGTTGATGGTTTGCCAGACTTAAGCTGGACTGAAGCCCCAATTTGAATTAGCTTGTAATAATACCTTTGATTAAGGTCAAAATGGTCATTACGGTAGGATTAGTTTATTAGGGTAAAACCTCTGATTTTAAGAGGCCTTCAGTATTATCTGTATCAGAACAAGTTGTGCTGTAATTTAAATTTACAATATTTCTTTCTCCAACCTGATTTCTAGTTCATGAGTGAAGGAATTAAGTGTTCACTTTGTATTATGGTATCAAAGGGGGGGGGTGAGACCTTTTGATTAAATCTAAAAGTTGAGCAAGGGATTTTTATGACTGAAAATTTTAGGAGACTATTAATGTCCAAAGATAGTTCTGTGAATAACAGTTAGGTAAAATAATAGAATTTATTAGTGGAACACACACTGCTACCCTCATCATCTCCTGTCACAAATGAGGAAAACCAGGAGTGGAGGACGTAACCAAGTTATGAGTCTCCTGATAAACATTACTTTAACCTGAACTTGGCTTTGTGCAAATGTGTGTTTCTTATAACCCAAAAATCTCTGAGGCCATTGGCTAACAATAGCCAGTTGCTGTTAAAAAAAAAGAAGAAATTGTGGCTGAAAACAAATTGTGTGTAAAGGAGACTGATAAAGATAGTGATCTATTTCTTGTCAAATTTATAGTGATTTGTGGTGATTTTATGTTCTTATGGTAAAACTTAAAAGAACTCTGTGTCACAGGCTGCATTACTGGTACGCAGTAGACTGGAAGGGCAAGTAAGTAGCTGTACCCTCTGAAATGAGCTGAGTCCGGATTCTGCCAGATACCCTTCACACAGAGGGGGCTTCCTGGAATGTGTTGAGAGGTTAAAGCTGTGTGTGGGAACAGCGCAGTCCTATTTCTGGAGTCCTCTGTGACCTTCACTGCATCATAATTTATGGCCAGGTTGTCAGGTGCTTAGCATTCAGCAGTCCTGAAATCTTATTTTTGACCCTGTACTTGTAGTTATTATAGTAATATTTGCTGGCGAGAATAGAGGCGTAGCAGACTTTTTCTTATTTTCTCATCTTTCCCCTCAACATTCTTTTCAGATAGTCATAAATAGTATAAAAATGTTTAGAGCTTTCATCTGTCCTAAACTAGCCATGGAGACTAAAGTTACTCGCATGTTCTCTCTCTTAATTATTATTGTTAAAAGGGTAACATTATGTGGCAAATGGTTGGACAGGAAAATATTCATTTACAGATAAATTTACAAATCTATCATTCGTGATCTAAAATTGAAACATTGGAACTATTTGTAGAAATGCTAGATCCTGTCTCTTGAGTTATATTGTGTATCTGTGGAATCTAATTTTTGGAGAAATAGGATAATGCCTTTTTATTTTTCTTGTGCAATACAGATCAGCCATGATTCTTAGCAAATATTGTGTGCCGTGTTGAGGAGGAGTGGAAGGTACTGTGTGTCCACGCTGGCAGGAGCCCTCGGTATCTGAGTTCTGCTTCAGCCTCGTGGTGTCAGATGTATTGTTGAGCACAGCCTACCTTCAGAATATGCTAGTGGTAGTTACCACCTAGAAGTTAAACTTGCAGGTTTTTTTTGGGGGAGGGGGGGAATATTATTTCTGTTAAAATAAAAAAAATCTTAAGATTCACAATATTTGTGAAATTTAGATTTTTCTTCACTTTTTTGTTTATATAATCTTTAGTAAACATGGACTAGTACATTGCTAGTAGATTCAAGCCCTAGACATCTAAGACTGTAGTCCAACAGATGGATTTATCTGATTTAGTTGATTCAGTACATCAGAATTCTATAGAGATTGAGGTTGAATGAATGAATTTCTATGTGTAAGCTTTGAAGTTGCTCCTTTTCATTCCACTCATTTCCATTCGCATAGACAGACAGGAAATTATTGTATCTGCATCCCTTTTTTTCCACTTTGTTGAAATAACTTAGTGAAGTTAATCATTAGATTAACTATCCTTAGATGAATGATCACTCTGTTGGCTTACAGAGTTGACGTTTTCATTTTGACATTGCCTAACACTAAACTTGGATTCCTGTGGGATGTTACTGTGGGCAGCAGCACTGCCAACTCTGTAGGTCCCCACGAGTGTGTCTGCAGGCTGCTTCTGCTGGCTATTAAGACTCGGGATGTTTGAAAACGAGTATACTATA